TTCTTTCTCTTTCTCTCTCTGTGTGAGTCTGCCCGCCTGTCTGTCTGTCTGTGTGTGTGTGTGTGTGGCTCTTTGCCTCTCTCTCCCTCCCTCCCTCCCTCCGTGTCTCTCTATGTGATTCTCGCTCTGTGTCTGTCTGTCTGTCTGTCTCTCTCTCTCTCTCTCTCTCTCTCTGTATCTCTCTCTCTCTGTATCTCTCTCCTCCAGTGGTGGGTTTCAAAAAATTTTGGAACCTCGCTCTGTAGGTGTGGCCTGCTTTCCAGGTCCACTGGTGGAACCTCTTCTAACCGGTTCGGTAGATTTGACGAACCGGTTCTACTGAACCGGTGCGAACCGCTAGGAACCCACCGCTGAAATGGAGTCAAGGAGAGTCCTGAACTATCCTGCTGGTTCCTGGGAAGGGCAGCTCTGATCTTGTTGCTGGCCGGCCATGGGCCAAAGACAGAAAGGAACACTGCTGGAGAGAAGGCCAAGTGGTGGGATGCCTTGCCCAGGGCTCCTTCTGACAGGAGGAAAAGGGTCTCCTTTGAAGGTGATGCGGCAAACAGCCCCTGATACGCCCTCTTCTACCAACATGGCTCTGCCTTCTCCTTCCCCTGACCCCCCTGGACATCAGGTCTGGAGGGCAGGAGGGACCGGGCCTCCTCCTCCTCCTGCTGGTCAGAGGCCAGCTTTAGAGAATGGTCAATTGTCTTGGAGCCTTTGCCTCGGACAAGCAGCCCGCAGTACCAGGAAGAGCTGGCACGTCTGGTGACAGCTGGCACCAGAGCGAGATAGCCTTCACAGCTGAGCCCGCTCTTCTGAAGCAAGCCTCAGTCCTCCCTCCAACATCAGAGAGGAGCCTCCTGTGAGCTGCCCTGGCTCTTCTCTTGCCCTGCCAGGTTGCTCCTGAAATGCCCCTTCCGCCCATCTCTTGCTTTCCCCCCAAGGGGGCCTGGTCTGCACAGGAATGCCCAGGGCAAGATGAGCTGGGAGCAGCAAGCCCAGGGCCCTTCCTGCCCGCTCCCTTCCTGGAACCATTTTTCAGCTGCCAGGCCTACATGGCAAGCAATGCTCAACTCCCACAGCAGCCACGACAATGTTCAAGGGGGGGAACTCCTGGTGCTGAGAGACGCCAAAGGGGGCCTTTACAACTCACAGGGTGAGGGGGGCGAAGAGGAGGAGGAAGATGCGCTGGATAGGTTTCCCCACTTTGGATTATTTATAACAAAAAAATTAAAAAGGGAGGATACAAATAAATGAATGTGGAATGATGACCATCAGCTGCTGGTAAGTCGGGTTCTTGCCACGCCCTCCTTTGCCTGTCACTAGGCTTCCCCCATCTTTGGGGCCTCCAGCTCCAGCCACCACCACCAGCACCTGCCTTCCCCTTCAGCTGTTGCAGGAGACCCACCCCCCCAGCTTATGGATGACCCCTCCCAGCAACTGCACAGCAATATGAAGCCATCTGATAGGGTCCTGGGAGGCCCCCACAATGGGTGGCCAATGCTTCAGCCCTTCTTTCCCCTCCTGTCAAGGTTTCAAGGTTTCAAGGTTTTTTTTATTTTAATTTTAAATACTTGAGATTACTTTCTTACCATCCCATAACTCCATCTTATCTTACAACATTCCTACTTCTTCTTCCTTCCTTCCTTCCNTAAGAAATGAGTACAAATAAATGGGGACAGTAGGAAAGGGATGGTAGGCACACTGGAGCCCTTATGCCCACCCCCTTGCAGACCTCTTAGGAATGGGGTGAGGTCCACGGTAGACAGTTCAAGGTTAAAGGTATAGGGGTTTGAGGATGTAACAACGGAGTCAGGTAGAGCATTCTGGAGTCAGGCGTTGACCACTCTGTTACTGAAGTCGTATTTTCTGCAATCAACTTTGGAGCTGCTTACTTTGAGTTTGTATCTATTGTTTGCTCATGTATTATTGCGGTTGAAGTTGAAATAGTCATCGACAGGTAGGATATTGTAGCAGGCAATTTTGTGTACTAAGCTTAGGTCAGACCGTAGGTGGCATAGTTCTAGGTTGTCCGGGTCCAAAATTTCAAGTCTAGTGGCATCGGGTATTCTACCGCGAGCAGAGGAGTGGAGGACTCTTCTTGTGAAATATCTCTGGACTCACTCAATCGTATTAATGTCCGATATACAGTGTGGATTCCAGGCAGATGCGCTGTATTTGAGAATTGGTCTGGCAAAGGTTTTGTATGCCCTGGTTTGTAGTACAATGTTACTCAAGCTTCTCAAAATTAGGTTAACAACTTTTAATGCCTTTTTGGCAATGCTGTTACAGTGAGCTCTGGGGCTTAGATTCCTAGGTCTTGGACTGAGTGAGGGTCATATATGAGGTATCCGTCCAGCTTGTATTTGGTGTTCTGATCTTCCCTGCTTGATTATTCATTTTTTTCTCACCTTCAATTAGTTTCCACCATATTCCGTTCTATTT